GTGGTTTTTTGGAGTCACTGGCTTGCCACTTCCTTCCCTGTACACTTGCGGGCAGCGGCCGGCTGTCTCGGGAGCTCCCTCAGGATGAATACCGTGGCTTTCATCTGGAGATCTTAGAAGCCCTAATGACAACCAACACGCTTCATTATTTCTGTTTGGTGTGCGAGAAAAGTGACTCACAGAGGGGTCTGGCGATGTTCTCATTCACCTCCGGAGTTATTACCAGAACCATGAATGAAACTGAGGGCGAAACTCTACTTCATGAGCCATTAAACCCTGTACTCTTTATAGTCGTGGAGTTTACAACAAAGAATGACCCCTTTGTGTGGCGAGCGCCTTCCTTTATTCTGTTATTAAAACCTACCTTATGTAGGGCACGGGCATCTCAGTGCACGGCGCCAGCTTCAGCTCTCTGCTGTGTGAACAGGCTGGAAAGAGCCCGGCTGTGTCTTATTGGTGATACCCGGAGAATTCACAGCTCACTGCTTCCATCCACACACGCCGAGTGCCTTGTACATCATCTGTAAAATGATCGCAGTTGTATTACCATTAGCCAAAGGGTGTTCTGAGAGTTAAGATAATTTCTATAAAGCTCACTGTCTAGTGCACAGTAAGAACGCAAAATAACAATTGTCATGGTCAAAAAAGAAATGACCAGGAGTCACACTGAGAGACCACATAATGGTCCCTGTACAGCCCTATGCGGGGGATAGCGTGGCATCTGGGGGAAGGGGTGAGGAAGGCAGGGCTGGGGCACAGATGCTAAACTGACTTCCACCACTTATAACCGAGGAGACATTCCTTCTGGGAGCCTAGAGGCTCAGAGAGGAGCAGACAAGCTTCCTGAGAAATGGGTGGAGCTTTTAAGGCCCCAGAGCCGGCTCGTCGCGGTCCCCTGCATCCTTCTCAGGCCTGTTTCAATGTCCTGAGAATGGAGCAAAAGCGTTTGTCCAAGTTCCTGCCTGACCCGCCTGTGCTCGGGACACACACGGAGCAGTGGTAAAAGCAGCAGCCAACCTGGGAGTCGGGCAGGCCTTGGGCAGACCGAGGGAGGCCCCGCTCCGGTTAATTTGGGACGGGCTGAGCTGACGCTGCCAGGAAATTGCATTTCCTTTTAACCTGTTGCAATTCCAGTCTTCTGTGTGACCTAAAAACTGGGCCTGGAATCTTTCTGCCCAGACACAAAATAGAGAAGCCATAAAGGAAACTATGGCAGACTTGACTGCATGCAAGGTAAAGAGCTGGACAGTCATTGGTGCAACGGTTAAGTCCCGCTTGGAACACCTGCCTACCATATCAGAGTCTCTGGGTTCAAATCTCAGCTCTGCTTCCCATCTGGCTTCCTGCTAACACACACCCTGGGAGACAACAAGCTCAGGTGCTTGTGTCCCTACCACCTCCTGACTTCGATCCTAGCCCAGCCCCTGGCTGTTGCAGGCATTCGAGCCAGTGGATGGAAGATCCTTCTCTCTCTACCCCTCTCCCTCTCTTTCCCCCTCTCTGCCTTTAAAATAATAATAGCAACAACAACAATAATAAAATGAAAACAATTTTATGGGACAAAAGTTACCAATGAATCAAAACAGACTGACAAGCAACAAACTAGAAGAAAATATTTACTAATTTTTTAAAAAAATATTTACTTATTTATTTGAAAGGCAGAGTTACAAACAGTGGAGGAGAGAGAGAGAGAGAGAGAGAGAGAGAGAGAGAAATGGTCCATTTTTTGGTTCAGTCCTCAGATGGCTGCAATGGCCAGGGCTGGGCCAGACTGAAGCCAGGAGCCTAGAACTCCATCCATATGTCCCACGTGGGTGCAGGGGCACAAGGACTTGGGCCATCTTTGTCTGCTTTCCCAGGCATATTAGCAGGGAGCTGGATTGGAAGCCAAGCGGCTGGGACTGTAACTGGCACTCCTAAAGGATGCCAGCATTGCAGGTGGTGGCTTAACTCTCTGAAACAGGGTCGGGCCCCCCAGAACACATTTCAACACGGTACTGATACAGGGAGGAACAACACAGTGCATACAGAGCTCCCATCAATCAACAGGAAAGAGGCAAAATCAATGAACAAAAAATACAAGCAAGCAATTTTAGAAGAAAGATACAGAAAATAGGCACTTCAGCAGTAATTAAGGGAACTGAAGTGACAAAACGGTGTCATTTTGCTTACCCACTAGATGGGCAAAAATTTAAAAAAGTTTGATAATATTGAATGTCGCCACAGGTGAAGAAAATGGGCAGTTTCTTGCATTGACGGTGAGAATGTCAACCAAGGAGCCTTTTAAAAGGACAGTTCTGCAGTACCTGTACTTATGCAAATTAGGCCTGCCCTCTTTGTTACAACATCTCCACCATACTAAGTGTCTCCACATGGAGGAAACACACAAGGATGTCAAGGGCCACATTGTGTTGGCGTGGAGGGCCAGCCCTCTCCAGAGCACTTTACAACAACCGTTGTGGGCCACTTGGAACAGAGACGTTACTTTCCTGGCTGAGAGTGCCCCAGCCAGGGTGTGGTAGTGGCCCAGGCAGCTGTCTTCAGAGTTTGATTTCAAACCACTGTGTTCTCTACCCAATAGGAATTGATTACAGACGGGACACCTCTCCAGGGAGTAGCACCCCGCAGTTCACAAGAACACGGGCAGGGCGGTGTCATGGAGCCAGCGCCCCGAGCCTAGTCCGAATCCCAGCGGCTCCTCTTCCGATCCAGCTCCCTGCTAATGCACCGGAAAATCAGCCCAAGATGGCCCAAGTCCTTGGGCCCCTGCACCCGTGTGGGAGATCTGGAAGAAGCTCCTGGCTCCTGGCTTGTGATTGGCTCCAGCCACTGTGGATAATCGGGGAGTGAACCAGCAGATGGAAGACCTCTCTCTCTCTCTCTCTGTAGATCTGCCTTTCAATAAATAAATAAATCTTTAAAAAAAACCAAGAATTATACTGACAAAAATAAGAAATATATAAGGTTTAACTACACCAACAGATGAGTCTCTCTTCTAGGGTCAAAACTGACTAGGAGGCCTACGCCGCGGCTCACTAGGCTAATCCTCCGCCTTGTGGCGCCGGCACACCGGGACTAGCTCACCGGGTTCTAGTCCCGGTCGGGGTGCCCCTCTTCCAGGCCAGCTCTCTGCTGTGGCCAGGGAATGCAGTGGAGGATGGCCCAAGTGCTTGGGCCCTGCACCCCATAGGAGACCAGGAGAAGCACCTGGCTCCTGCCATCGGATCAGCGCGGTGGCCACTGGAGGGTGAACCAACGGCAAAAGGAAGACCTTTCTGTCTCTCTCTCTCTGTCCACTCTGCCTGTAAAAAACAAAAACAAAACAAACTGACTAGGGCTTTTCTCGTCCGTGAAAATGAGCAGATGGAGAAGATACCGAGTATTATGTATCCTGTTGATCACTGCCCTTTTCTTTCCAAATGAGGTTCCCATGTCCAGTACTTGGGACCACAGCTTTCTGTTATTCCACCAAGCCCCATAAAAACACCCAGGTGGTGCTTGCCCAGTTAACTGGGAACGGGGGGCCTACAGTCTTCCTACTGTCTTGCATAAGCTGTCCTCAGGGCAAAGCAGGCAGAACCAGCGGTGGCGCCCTCATGGTGTGTCCAGGCTAAGGAGGAGTGCCCCCGTGGTGGGGTCCGCGCAGGTAAGCCAACACTAACCCTCCTTCGGACCAGAAGCGAGGGTTAGTCTCTGAGACGGAATTCGTCCAGGGCCTCTCGCCGCCCAAGTCCAAGAAAGGGTGGCTTCCGCCCAAAAGCGAAGAGCAGGCTCCTGGAACACTTACTGATAAAAATGCTACTTTTAGACCATATCTGCGGGCTTATCTCTGACCGGCCGCGAAGAGCAGCTTGAGATTCTTCCTGCTTAATGGTATCAGATTGTAGCTGTTTTGGAGTGGCTCGTGCGTTTTAGGGCATTTTGCAAACTTCAGTGCGCTTTGAAGCATCTTCCCGGGAAAGAGGATCCCATTCACCCGCGAGCCGACTTCTCGGCCGGTCTTGGAGCCGCTCAGGGGACACAGCTACACAGTGCGCGCCCGCTACTTCGTGCCTTCGGCTTTATTTAACTTTATTCAAGTTCCACGTGCTCCGCCGTCCGCACACCTGCCAGGGCTCCTCCCGGGAGTGCGCCCGGCTGACCGGCCCGCGGGACCCCGGGCGCCTGCCCCGGGCGCGGCCACCGGGGGCATCGACAGCCGAGCCGTGGACGTCTCGGTGCAGGGCCCCTGCCCCTGCGGGTCACTTCCTCTGGGCGGCCGGGTCACAGGGGCCCCGGGAACCGCTTCCTAACCCCTGCCTCGCACGCTCCGGGTTGCCCCCGGGGCGCGTGTGACCCCGGGGCGGCCCCCGGAGTCGCCCCCCGAAAGGCCCGTGGGCGCCCGGCGTCTCCCCACGGCTTTCCCGTCAGAGGCCAGGGCCAGGCTGCGAGGCCTCCGCCTCGGGGGCGGAAGCGCCGGCTGCAGGCCCCGCGGCCCGCGCAGGCCCCGCCGGCCGCCGCGGTCGCTATTCTTCGGGCGCGGGCGCTGCAAGGCCCGCATAGCTGCGCGCTGAGTCAGCGGGGGCCGCGGGGTCGCCGGCCGGGCCGGGGTCAGGCGGGCGGGGACCCGGGCGCCCCCGCCCCTCCCCCGCGCGCGCCCGCGCCCCCCCAGGACTCCCGGCGGGGGCGCACGGGGCGCCGAGCGGGCGGCTCGGAGGCAGAGACAGGGAGGAAGAGGAGCGGAGGAAGGCGGCGCGGCGAGCGGGGGCCGGCGGGCGGGCGGGCGGGGACCCGGGCGCCCCCGCCCCTCCCCCGCGCGCGCCCGCGCCCCCCCAGGACTCCCGGCGGGGGCGCACGGGGCGCCGAGCGGGCGGCTCGGAGGCAGAGACAGGGAGGAAGAGGAGCGGAGGAAGGCGGCGCGGCGAGCGGGGGCCGGCGGGCGGGCGGGCGGGGCGGGGCGCGCGCGGGCGCGGGCGCGCGCCGGCGGCCGCGGCCGAGGGGCTTGTGGGTAGCGGCGGCGCGCGCCGGGGCCGGGACGCGGCGCCGCCGGGCGTGAGCGGAGCGGGCTGGTGGGACTGCGAGGCGGCCGCGGCGACCATGGGGGCGGGCGGGCGGCGGCCGTAGCTGCCCCGAGCTGCGCTTCAGCCTCCCGGGAGCCGGAGGGCGGGGCGGCCCGGCCGCTTCCCCGCTCCCGCCCGCCGAGTCCTGCGGGAGCTCGCCGCGCACCGGGCGGCGCGAATCGGACTGAGGGGCGGGGACGCCATCTGCGCCTCGCCGCTCCCGGCCGGGCCGGGCCGGGCCGGGCCGGGCGGGCCCCGCGAAGGCAGCCGCGGGCCCCGCAGCGGCGTGGAGCTCCGCCCGGAGCCGGCGCTAGGCCCCGCGGCGGCCGGAGCTGAGCGCGGGGAGCCGGAGTGCGGGCCTGGCGCTGGCGGCATGAGCCGGCCCCCGCCGACGGGGAAAATGCCCGGCGCCCCCGAGGCCGCGCCGGGGGACGGGGCCGGCGCGGGCCGCCAGAGGAAGCTGGAGGCGCTGATCCGGGATCCCCGCTCCCCCATCAACGTGGAGAGCCTGCTGGTAGGTGGCCGGGGCCTGCGAGCCCTGCCGCGCGCGGTCTGGCCTCGGAGCCCCCTCTGTGCCCGCCCGTCCGTGGGGAGGGGGAGGTCTCGCCGCCCCCGCCCGGCTCCCGGCAGCGGGGAGGGGGGGCCCGAGGAGACGCCCACCTTCGGGTGCTCCCGGTGTCACCCCGGCTTCCCCTCTGCCGGAGCCGCGGGAGGAAGCAGCCCTGCCCACCCACGGGGCTTGGGGAGGTCGGGGCGCGGCTCGGCCAGGCTTGGTGCGGGGCTGGGGGAGTGTCAGGCTGCGTGGGGGGACGCGGGTGCCCGCGGGGGAGCTGGACGCCCGATGCTGGCCGTGTGGGGAGTGCCCACCTGGGGTTCCTGATAAAGAGCCCGCTCCCTGTAGGCTGCGACCCTGGAACGCAGCGCCCAAGTTGTGCGTCCCAAGTTGTCTTTGGACATCGCGCGGTTGGCATTTCGTTTCTGTATATTTAATTTCTCGAGATAATAGCGCTAGCCCCCCCCCCCCCCCCCCCGCAGTCTTGACTTGTACGGTAGTGAACCTCTTCACTGTGCCTCGTCCCTAAGAGGGGCTGTGAAGCCACGTCAAGGCTGCTGGGGGACTTTTGACTCGGCAGAGAACGTGGTCTGCGAATTAGAAACGCGCCATCGATTGCTGGCTCGTGTCTTCCTTTCGTCAGGGTGGACGCCTGTGTTTTGCAGGCGATTTAATTAGAGTGCCACCGAGATGCATTTATGGGAAGAGACGGTGCGGACCGTTCCCCGGGGGAGAAAAAAGTGGAGAAAGATACTCTGGCTGTTCGCTCCGGAGGGCTGGAGTGGGGCTGGGAGATCCCTCCAGCCTGGGCCAGAACGCGGGCTGTCCGTGCTGGGCGAGCCTGGTGACCACAGCACGAGGAAGGCGGCCTCCTCCCCTCCAGCCGCCGACTGGCTGTCCTCCGAGGCCGCTGGATCCTTTGAGGTTTCTGGAATCGTTGGCAGAGTGACTCAGTGCTGTTTGGAGCCGACCGGAGGGTGTGTATCCTGCCCAGTGCTGTGGTGCTGTAGGGCTCACACTCGGCTAGCATTTTCTTCTGATTGTCTGGACAGTGTTCCCGGGGAGCATGGCACCCTGGCCGGCCGTGGACGTCTCTCAGTGGGAAGCAGAGTGGCTGCATGGAGGCCCAGGCTTTTCCTAGGCTTCGCTCCGGCATTTTCACTTTGGTATTTTGCTAACAAAGCTTGGACCCGGGGCCAGAAAGTTCAGTTAAAAATAGTGTCTGCAGATCGCAAGTGTTCCTCAGGTTCTGTCTGGCTCCATCCGAGAGAAATTGTTTACACTCCACTTCCAATTTTTTGGGTTGTTGATGATACTGATCATAATTACTCAGGTTGCTCTGAGTTTGGAACGAAGCTGTTTGTCATTCACTCAACTTTTAATTAGCAAGAGGAGGACTTCGAACCGGCACGTTTTAGGTCAACGGTTTAGTGCATTGATTGAGTGGTCTCCAGAGACGAGCCGCACTTCTGCTGGAGGTGAGGTCAGGTGCTGTTCTTGCCTGTGAGTTGTCTGCTCTGGACACGCATACTCACGAGTCCAGCAAGTCTCAGCAGTCAGAAGTGTCCTTTACTCCTTTGGGCAAGGTTCCTCGTGGCTCTGTTGCAGATGGACAAAGCGAAGCTTACACAGTTGTAGTAAGTTAAGTTACGTGTATTTCATCATTTGGAAGATGAGAATAGATTGATTTTTTAATTGTGGTGGCAGAGTCCTAAAATTACTGCTTAGACTTTTTTTTTTTTAGCCCCTTACTTATTAGAGAGGAAGAGAGAGAGGTGGGCAGTGGCTGGGGCTGGGAAATCAGTGCAGGCCTGTGGTGGGGTGGCAGGAGGCGCAGTGGCCGCGAGTGGGTCTGCCCTGGCCTGCGGTGGGCGGCTGCTCCGTCGTGACCGTGTCCCAGTGCACCCCCGCTGTGGCGCACCAGCACACCTTTCCATCTTCCCAAACTGAAACCCTGCGCATTCATCTTCAGAAAGCAGTGTTGCAATGACTGACATGCATTTCCTGAAGCAGTGGCTGGTGTCACTTCAGGGATGTGAAGCCTTGCCATCCATTTAGGCTGGATTCCACAATCGGTCATTGTTAGACTGCACATGGCGTTTCTCTAGGTTTTGCCACAGAAAATATTTTTTTATTTATGAGAGAAAAGCAGTATAGTTTAAGAGAAGCATAGCCATGAAACTTAGTTCAGGAGTTCGGGCAGTGCCTCTGAAGGCGGCAGCACCGCCCAAGGTGGGAACAGGAGGAGAGGGAGCAGGCCTGGAAGTCACGGGAGGGAACTGAAGGTGCTGCTTGGGGCAGAGCGGTGCGCATTACCTGGATCGCCTCTGTGTGCATTTAGCATTTTTCATTCGCTTTAAATTTCCTTTGAAAAAGAAAATGGTTATGTTTGTAACTATTTCTTGTTGCATAATTTTGAGCGAGTGTCAGTATCATTTGAATTTGCCATCTTAAAAATGCTAGCAACCCTCAGGCTTAGAGCTGGATTCCAAGATTGGATTCCTGTAGAGATGTAAGTAATTTTGTTTCTCTGTGCAGGCTAGTTGCTTTATGTAGGTCTGTAAATTAATCTGAAGAGAATGTGTTTCTTTTGAGGTTACAGAATGTGATTGGTATTATTTAAAAATAGTTTGGGGGAGAGGTGTGTTTCTGGGGGAGCTTCTTCAGTAATGGGCTTTTGCAGTGTTTGAAATGTTTGCATAAATACCTGCATTTTGTTGTGAAGACTCCGCTTCTCATACTGTTTGCCTATTATGGTAAAACACATTGTTGTAGTCTTATGTTGGAAAGTTGTCGTTTTCAAGGCCTGTGCTTTCAGTCTTTGATATATTTTACTCTTTCAAAGAGTGAACAATCATAATAACGTGTTGGACTCAGGTTTGAATGAACCGTTACTGAAGATGGGCCGAGGTGATTAAAACTTTACAATTTTCTGTGGCGAAATTTGGTTGGTTTTGTTCTGCCAGTAAACTGAAAATATTTCTTATCACACTGCTTAGATTTCTTCAGCTTTTGTTTATTTGCCTAATTAAAAAAATTGTGTATTTTTCCCCACTATATACTGAGAATATTATGAAGATATAATAAAAATGAAATGGAATAAAGTTGAAAAAGTTGTTCTATACATGCTTTTCTTTTGTGAAATAAGGATTGGACATTTATAGCATAGGGTCTTAGTTTATGTTAAAACCTGGATTTTTGGTAGTCAGAAAGTCTTTATAAAGAAAGTAAGTTAGCTAAGGAGGTTTGAAGAAGGGGATGTATGGAGCTTACTCAATAGCTTCACTCAATAGAGTGAAGTTTGAACCTTTTTTGCAAGCACAGATCCACAGTCCCCTACCCACAATCGAGATCTGTGAAGAGCTCCGAAAACCAAGTGTTTGGTAAAACTTACTTGATGGTAGCATCTGGGTTCCTCTAATGCTGGAATGTTTGTGGTTTGCTCATCTCCCTTGGTAGTGGCTTTCCCGAAGAAGGATTAGTATGTTTGATTTTAGGATGCTGCCTCAGGTTTCCAAGAGGGCTTTAGGGGAGCATAGTATTGATACTCTATTATTATTTGGAAATACAATAAGTTCTGCATTCTGAAACATTTTGGCCCCAGGTAAGGCCATTATTGACAAAGTAGGGAAGTGAATACTTAATTTCCCGAGTAGTTGTAAAGAAATAGTGGATAGTTATCTTGAAGGCTAAGGGTTTCTTTGTTTTTGTTTTCTGTCTTTTGTTTATTCCTAGAATCTTGATCAGATATTTTAAACATTGGAAGAATTTGCATGCAAATGTAAGTTTTGAATAGTAAGAAGCATTCCTGAAATTACTGTGCAGGTTAAAAAGTGAGCCCCCAGCCCTGGAAGCTGCCTGTGGGCTCCTGAACTTGGTTCACTGTTCCCCTGTCCACTCCTATCTGCAGCCTTGAGGTTTGTTGTATCTTTCTTTAGATTACTACCTCTGTGCCTTTTCCTAAACTTTATAATGTTAACATTTGTATATATTCCTTTGTGACTTGCTTTGTTTCACTAAAAATTGTGCTTCTAAGGTTCATCCATATTGTGTTTTTTGCATTTTTACACCACCATAAATCACAGTGTAGCTCCAATCTGCTTGATAGATAGATACTTTTCATTTTTTTGGCTATTATGGAATGTGTTGCTGGGAGCATTCCTGGAGCCCATGTGAAGAGTTTCTGAAGACTAGCGTATGTGTCTAGAATGGAATTGCTGGATTTTAAGATACATTATGTTCAACTTAATGTAATGGAAAGAGTTTAAATCTTCCCCCAACATTTTATTATGGAAAATCTTAAAGTGTTGACAATGAATATCCATAATCTCACCCTTTAATATTTTCTTTATCACATCTGTCCATTCCTGTAACACTCTATCAATGCATCTTTTATTTATTTATTTGAAATTCAGAATTAGAGAGAGAGAGAGATTGCTTGATCTTCCATCTGCTGGTCCATTCCTCCCCAGATGGCTGCAATGGCCAAGGCTGGGCCAGGCTGAAGCCAGGAACCAAGAGCTTCCTCCAGGTCTCACACTTGGGCCATCCTCTGCTGCTTTCCCAGGCACATCAGCAGGGAGCTGGATAAAAAATGGAGCAGCTGGGACTCGAACTGGCACCCATATGGGAAGCTGGTGTCACAGGCAGTCTCAATGTATCTTTTGCTTTGATTTGTTTAAAGTAAATTAGAGATATTAGTATACTTCACTTTTAAAAATTTATGCATTTCTTTTTTTTTTTTTTTTTTAATTTATTTGAGAGGTAGAGTTACAGACAGAGAGAAGGAGAGACAAAAAGAAAGATCTTCCATCCGCTGGTTCACTCCCTAAATGGCTGCAATGGCTGGAGCTGGGCCGATCTGAAGCCAGGAACCAGGAGCTTTTTCCTCGTCTCCCAATAGGGTGCATGGGCCCAAGCACTTGGGCCATCTGCTGCTGCTTTCCCAGGCCATAAGCAGG